AGAAGGAAGATCGAAGGTTGAGGAATCATCCCACGAATATTTCCCTTCCAGAATTTTAGACATAATTGTCATTGCACTGTGCAAAAGCCATACGCTTGCTGCAAAGGAGAGATCCGATCGAATGGTTTGAGCAGTGGTTTGAGGGAAGTTTTGAGGGCAGTTTTGAGGGCTTGGACTCTGCAGGACCAGATGTTACATTTCTTTTTTATGGTGCAGTGCAGAAGTCATGCTAACGAAGCAAACTACTTATATTAAAGTAGAGCAGGGACTTTGGTGCCTTACCATTATCAGGTCCAACGAAAAGTTGTCCACATTTGCAAATATTCAGCAGCAGAACTGTTATTTTGGTTATGACCTTGAACAAAGAGTGATTTCATTTGCTCCAGTTGGCTGTGCTACCTTCTGATCACGACTTGGCACGGGGGTTAGCTAGGTTAGCTGTATAGCCATGGCCAGGAGCTTGGACATGCTTTTGTATCATATTAGTCTTTCCTCATCTTTTGATTCCAAGACAGGCATTCACACCCTTGAAGCTTTTCTTCAGCTTCCTGTGGCTGTTTTTCCAATATGAACCCTTAACCATAAAATACCTAACCATGCAACAATTCTTTCTAATGTCTAAATATTATTCACTCAGTTGCTTTCGATGCAAGTAAAGGTACCACATCCTTGATGCCTTTCTTGACCTACTTTTTTTATATTAGTTCACAAACTTACATGGTATACATTAATAACTAAATCTACTCCTAATGCTGCCTTATTAATAGACAACTATTGCACCAAAATGCATAGATTACCTTCCTAAAAAAGCATTAGTTGGCTAGGTACTTAAATTCTGATGCAGTATTCACATATATTAGATAATGGGCATATCACCGCCCTCTCTCTTTTCCACCATTTTCTTCTTCTTGAACACCATCTTTATTCTTCAATCCATAAACTCTATCAACAGCAGTACTGCAGGTGATGGCTTTTCGGTTCGTCTGATCCACCGTGACTCACCTCTATCCCCATCATACAATCATTCCATGACTGCCTATGATCGTATACAAGCTGCTGCTTATCGTTCTGTCTTGCGTCTTAACCAGATCCAGTCACTCACCACCACCTTTTCATCCTCAGAACAAGATATCTCTTCTAGAATAGTCCCTGAAAATGGTGAGTACATAGTGACTTTCTCTGTGGGCACTCCCCCTACCCAAGTACATGCCTTCATGGACACTGGAAGTGAGGTCATTTGGGTCAAATGCTCACAAAGATCCCCTGTCTTCAACCCTGCAAAATCCTCCTCTTATGGTCACCATCCGTGTGATTCCCTTGCCTGTGAGGCTTTAGGGGTACGCAGGAGAGATCCGTGTGATTCCCTTGCATGTGAGGCTTTAGGGGTACGCAGGAGAACCTGCGCAGAGTTTCTTGACCCTTGCTACTATAGGGTAAGATATGGAGATGGTTCTACAACAGAGGGAACTCTGTCCCATGACAAGTTTGCATTTGAAGACCCTGAGAGGAACCTTGTGGATGTTGGTCACTTGGATTTTGGTTGTTCTGACTACTCTTCATGGCATTTTGTTGGGAATGAAGCAGGTGCTCTCGGCTTGAGCCGGCAGCCCCTGTCCTTAATTTCTCAACTAGGCATAAAAAAGTTCTCATACTGCATGGTGCTCCCGAACAACGAGGGATCGGGAAGCAGGATGTATTTTGGATCAGAGGCAGTGATCTCTGGTGGGCAAACTCCATTTCTGGAGGGAGAGGATCGGTATTACTATGTCACTCTTATTGGAATTCGCATTGGTGACCAAAATGTACCTCTCCCTGATGGGATTTTTAACATGACAAGTGATGGGGAAGGAGGGTTTATGATTGATTCAGGCACAACTTACACATTTCTTAGATCAGAAGCATATGATGCATTGATCAAGGCACTAAGCGAAGCCATAGATTTTCCACAAAGGAGAGGACCAAGCGAATGGTTTGAGTTGTGTTTTGAAGGAAGTTTTGAGGACTTGGAATCTGCAGCACCTGATGTGACATTCATTTTTGATGGTGCAGAAGTCATTCTAATGAAACAAACTACTTACATTGAAGCAAAGAAGGGGCTTTGGTGCCTTGCCATGTTGAGGTCCAATGAAAAGTTGTCCATATTTGGAAATGTCCAGCAACAGAACTATTTTGTTGGTTTTGACCTTGAAGAACAAGTGGTTTCTTTTGCTCCAGTTGACGACTGTGCTACCTTCTAGTAGGTAGTGGCCTAACCAAATTCAACAATATTTCTCATCTTTCAAGACTTTTAATCAGAAAAAAAAAATTTGCTAGGAACTCTTTTTATCAACCTTTGATTTCACCCTTAGGAAAACAGAAGCCACAAAATCAAAGACCTATTTCTCTCTCTCTCTCTGTGTATATATAACACTTTGTGAACACAAGAAAGCCCCCACCAACCCAACTTTTTATTTTCCTTCCAATTAATGTTTGAAATTGAAGATACTCTTCAACTTTTGCATGAGAGATTATGTCATAATGATGTAATTGCTTCCATGTAGACTTTTGAAAGCAATTGACAACATTATAAGCAGTTTCAGAAATACTATAGTGGACAAATAATACTTCAGAAGAAATATTGGTGAAAGAAATCAAATTTCTTTATTATGCACACACTTGACATGAGAATAAAAACTGGGCTCTTCCTCTGTTATAGGTATTGCAAATTAGAGGGTGCAGTGCATGCCATTATTCTACTTAGACCGCCTGTGGAGGCCTAAGGCAGCAAGCACAACTAGGTACATAAATACTAGCGATCCAAGCTGGGACAGGACTATTGCAGCTGCCACCTGGTTACAAAATTGCCCGAACACGTTGCAGACCTTGTTCCATTGCACATGTGAATTCCCTTGGTACCCCATCAGACCAATTGCCGTGGCGGCTCCATTGCCGGAGAAGAGCAATGCCACCATTAACAGATCAAGGAAGATGATCACCAGCCCTAAGCCGCTCTTGGTGCCCCGATTCCCAAACGAAAGGACCAGGGAAAATGCTGCATATGCACATGCTATGGCATTTGCTACCAGAAAGTACCTAGCACATAGTCAACCTTGGTAAAATTAGTTACTAGAATTATACAATAATTATTTATCAATAATCTAGAGGTACCAAAACAAAAAGAAGGAAATTTTAGTCATGAAATGATATGACATATGATATGGTGATAGTTTTAGTTGTTGGAGTTCTTAACAACACACATTTTTTGCTCGCCACTGTTAATTGGTAACATTACAATACCCATTCATTTGTGTAACCGGTTGATTAAATCACACTCATCTAAAGGTAATTAGTGCGATGTTAATATTCACCCCGATTACAGGTGGTGAGTAAACATAGTCTATGTCGAACAAAGTAGGGTAAATATTCAGTTATGCTTAGATACGCTCATATTCGCTCATATTTTTATTCTTCTCCAATATGGAGGTATTTATATAAGTACAACCCTAAATAAAATAGGAAATAAATCTAAATTACAATAGAAAGTAAATCTAAATTACAATAGGAAATAAATCTTAATTATAATTGGACTAGACAAATAGGTAAGTAACTAAAATCCTAACATAGTAAGGAACCAAAATCCTAACTAAGTAAGGACTCGCCAACAGTCTATAAATTATAGACTGCAGTGTCCAGCACTAGCTGATTGAAAATTGGGGAATGCTAACAACCTTCTTTTTTGGACATTCTCCCTTTCCCTCATAACATGTGTCATTTTCTTTACACTTAAAACAATGCCATTAATACATCAAACAACCTAACTTTTGTTTTCCATATGTACCCTTATTTGATGTATTGACTTTAATGTTTACTTCAATTCATTCAAATTTTTTTTTTTTTACAACTTTTTCTCTCTTCAAATAATCAGAGACTTGCAGCCCCAAATCCAATCCTCCCTCTCATCATTTTGAGAGAGCCAGACCTTCACAACCGAAACAACATGAAATCTCCCCCAAAAAAAAAAAATCAAAATCAAAATCCATCAAAATCATTTTGTTTATTTCTTAGATTAAAGTTTGCAACTTTAAGGTGAGATTTTTAAATTTGGGCTTGGTCGTTGTTGTTGGTGCTTGGTGATGGTCCTCAAACCCAAATTTAGTATAATGGCCAATGCTTGCCTTGGGCCTTGAGGGTGTTCTTACCGTAGCCAAAACTTGCAGGGGCTTGGTTTTGTTTGAAGAGAGATTGGGGGAAGAGAGAAAAAGAGGGAGAAGAGTATGGGGAGGTGGTGAGGAGAGGGTGGGGTGGGGATGAGTGGCGCTAAGGAGATGGTGGGGAGATGGAGGTGATGGGCTTCGGGGAAGAAGGTGGGGGCAACTTGAGATAGGTTTTTAATTTTGATTTTTTAAATATTTAATAAATTAATATAATAATTTTTTACAAAGTTGTAAAAAATTGAGGCTAATAAATTAAAGTAAAGTTAATACATCAAATAAGAGTAAATATGAAAAATAAAAGTTAGGTTTTTTGGTGTATTAATCACATTGTTTTAAGTGTAAAGAAAATGACATATGTCATAAGAGAAAATTAGAGAGAAAGTTGTTAGCATTCTCTTGAAAATGAATGAGACAAACTAGTTGAGAACATTTAAGCAAGTTTCTGTCATTGAGAACTCCTCTATCCGCTGCGAATGGTCAATATATCGCGATAATATCGTGATATGAACTTTCAAAAATTAAAGAAAACTCCACATGCATGCAGGGGTTCGAACCTCTTCCCCATTCTAAGGTCTGTAGCGACTTAACCACCACGCCAGTCCTCACTTTGTGATAATAAGCTATGGAATCTGTATTTACAATACTTGCGAGCTGTTTCTCAAAATAGAAATTAACATAATTACTTATTGTTTTATATTGTTGATCAGTTACCTAATTACTTAATATAATTTATTTCTTTTCTATTTAATCCATTTAATGTTATTGATTATTTTATTATTCATTATAAGTACTTACATTACTAAATTCCCCTTCAAATTGTTGCTTAATTACTTAAATCTCTATAATTATTTTCTTTATTTACTATTTAATTCTTCCTTGGATAAATTTATTTATGTTCTTAGTTAATTTTCAATCTTCACTATTATTTTTTAAGCATGGTAAAGTGCCTAATTTTCATGAAAAATCAAATGTGTACCATGTCCAGTGAATAATGTGAAATAAGGTTACTCATGTATCTTACCATGCAATTTATAAAGTGTAAAACATTGTACTAAAAAATGATAAATAAATTACTAGGGGCTGTTTAATTCTCTTTCATTAATTACTCCAGATTTTCTAAGTCACCGAGTTTGTTAGCTCGCAATATAATCAACTTAAATCACTCAAACCCACTATGCAATGCATTTCCTTCCAATTTTTTGTGTCAAAATAATAGATGATTGACTAAATAAACTTCTTCTAAAGTTTCATTAAAAATTTCCATGTATTTATCACAATTTACGTGGTTTTTATTCAATTTTTATCGATATCGATATTTTCCCGATATTTTCATCGATATTTCCGTGTTTTTGAACCATCGATATTTAAGACCTTGCCTCTATCTCAAGGAGGATGATAATGACAACAATTCTGACAAGGGAGGATAACGTACTTATGAGGGACTTGTAAACTTAGATGATATTGTGGTTGATGTTGACCTTTCACCACATAAAAGAAAACAAGAAAGAGGGACTTGTAAAGTTTTCTCACATGCATAGGGGATTTTATGCAATCACGGGAATAATAGCCAGAAATATTTAGGTAAGGCATGGGTAGGTGGAGGACTGAGTCAACTATGTGAGTTTACTGTAATTTGGAAGCCAAGATCTTCCAGATCTTCATGTAGGAGATATGTGTTTTGTTTTGATCTAAGAAATCCCTCGTTTATGATTTTGGCCTTAAGCTTCAATTTGTATTGTATCAAATCACATCTAGCTTTACTCACACCCAGGGGCAGATCCACATAGGGGCAAGAGGGGTCAATTGACCCCTACAAGCCCGGAATCCACCACTGTGGGTGAAGATGTTGACCCCTGCAAATTGCCCACAAACTGCTTAATAGAATGCTCTAGAGGGCGCAGCACACTAGCACAACAGGCAGCTTACCTTATTCCCACTTTCAACATTTAAGTAAATGTCTTTGTCCTTTTATTTTCATTTGTTTTTATATTACTCCATTTACTTAAGTTTACAATGTAAATAAGGAAGTATCTCCCATTTGGAATCAAATAAAAATACTAGAAAAATCAAATTCCCACCAAATCAAAATATGAAAAATCAATTTTAGTGCAAAATACGATTTAGGCTAAAAATGATGGCTCATTAAGTCAATATATACTTCATACTAAAATCCCATAAAATCAAGTTTTTTTATTTGATGTATAAGGAATAAAAGCCGCCAAAAATTATCTTGAGAAAATGATTATTCCAAAAAACCATTTTTCATACTTAGCCAATATTTTTACACAAAACAGTTTTTCATGTATGGTATGAATGCATAAAGGGACCTAAGGTCAATCTAGGTTAAAAACCTTAGATGTTCAATCCACAAAGAGTTTTACAAGAATAACCTTACTCTTACGTATTGAAGAAATATTTACTTGAATAAGCTCCCCTTAAGACATTACTCATAAGGGTCCAAAGTTTGAGAGCTAGAACCTAAAAGAAATGCAGATAAAGCCCAAAATCAAAACGACGACGGACCTCAAAAATGACGTAAATACCCTAAAATGAGCAGGATTGCGCTAATATATGCCCGTTCTTATGTCGAATAGGACAAGACGCCTTGGAAGATGAAGAGGAATGCGCTAATTTTTTGGTTTATTATCACATTCTTAGATATATTTTTGGTGTATTGCAATGCTTGTCTATTTTTTGAAGTTGAAGCAGTTCTCTTTGATAATGAATATGAGTATTTTGTATGGTTTTATCTATTAATTATGAATTAGAGTATTATCGTTTCATTTTAATGGGTCTATTTTGTATAGATTTTTTTTTTTAAAGCTTTTACACATTGACCCATGGAATGAAAATTCATGGATCCGCCACTGCACACACCAATCTCTTATAAGGTTATGATTTCTAGGTCTTGGTAGATATCTCGCATCTCGCATCGTACGTTATGTTGTGAGATTGTTAATGGTTTTTGAATTACAGTCTGATAATATAACATGTCCGTTTGTCTAACAAATATGTTAAATGATGCAAAACAAAATAAACTGTGT